GTTGTGTTTTTGGAGGAAAGGGGGGGGGGGGGAGTAAGAAAGAACAAAAATTAAAACAACAACAAAGAGAAAAACTAGTTTCAGGGAACGTTTCCACAGAACCCATGCACTCAAAGGCTGAGTTCTGATTTCACGTTTCAAATACTTTCAGCATTCTGAAGCCTTGTGTTAATGCTTTGTTAAAACTTTTCAACAATTATTATTCAAAAGTCTTGTGTATGTGTCTAGTTCAAAATCTTCAACATTTCAAAGTCTTGTGTTTGTGTATAGTTTAAAATATTCAACATTCTAAAGTATTGTGTTTATGTCTTGTTTAAAATCTTCAACATACTAAAATATTGTGCTTATGCCTCGTTTAAAATCTTCAACATTCTAAAGTTTTCAGTATATGTCTAGTTTAAAATCTTCCAAATACTAAAGTAGTTTGTTGATGTCTGGTTTATAATCTCCAACATTCTTGAGTTTATGTGTAGTTTGAAATCTTCAACATACTAAAATATTGAGTTGATATCTGGTTTAAAATTGTACACCGAATATAATCTTCCTTACCATCGGTCGCAGCGCAAAATACTGAATTGACATTGTTCTGCACTTATGGTACGAGACCTTCATCTTAGTCTTGGTCTTTTCAGAAAAGCGTAAGTGAGGTTAGTCACGGTGTTTCCCTCTCATTCAATAGGTCCCGGTTTCGAAACCTGACAGCGACGGAACATTTTCTTTTCTAAAATTTTCTCCTTTCACCTCCTAATGTCCCGCTCTCTAACCATGTGTCTGTCATCTGCTTTAGTCTCCACTTTCTCCCCCCTCCCCCCACCCCCTTTGCCCACTCCTCTGGCCTCCGGACTCTTTCTGTAGCCTTTTGCCTGCTACTCAATGGCCCCTTCTTATTGCCAGTGGCGTGGCTCTCCAAGCGCAAATGGCGCCATGGCGCCACCCTTTGAAATGGAGAAGGGATTTTCAAAAAAGGGAATACGTTTTTCCAAAACTTAACTAAATGTCACAATATTTTTTTTCAAACAAATCTCTGTGTTCATCCCTAAATACGCCAGTCTTTAGTTAAGGTGTATATAATTAGGCTAGTGGGAGGAGGGCGGGTAAGCCTCCCGTGGCCGGTCGCAAGGGTCTCCCCGCGTCTTTCGTTCCCTACGTCTGGCGTCACCGAGGGCGCCGAGCTCAGATCGGCGCTACCCACAGAATTCTACACTTCCTGAACCAGTGTCTCTGCCTGAACCCATCTGGGTGTTCATTGTTTAGGAGGGAAGTCTGGTCAAAATAATTCAAAATGATCTATAAACTATTTTATTCAATAAGTTGAAAACAGGGTTCTCTTTCCAAGAATAGCAAAACAGTTTCTCCAATACCCCGTCCAGACATTTGACGGAAGACACAAGAGATATCACCAAGAACATAACTCAGCCAAAAATGCTAGAACAGGTACTCCCATCACACTAAGAGATTGTACTGTTAGGCCAGAGGGCCGAGATGGATTTGGCGCCTGTATGGTAGGGAGGGGATGGAGTGGTAGTTAGTAAAGTTAGCCTGGACATGGCATCGTTGCGAACCGTCTAAAAATAGGTTTTATTGCGCTTTATTGTCTGCTTTCTAGAAACCAGAACTGCGCGTGAATCAGGGAATGGGGTCATTATGTCAAAACGCCCGGAGGGCAATAGTGCAAGCTTGTTCTTGACTGAGAATGTTTTATGTGCTTTTCTGTTGATCCGTGGGAAGTTATTGTTTTGTGTGTGAACAATTACATTGTGATGTGATTGTGCGCATCTTGAGCGCCGAACTTGGTTCTTTATCATCAGTTCTCTCTATATAAAATATTGTACCCGCATATATCTATTCTTCTCGCGTGGAAGTAGGTGTCCCTGTATCAGTATTAAAATTAAACGAAGAGGCGTAAATAGTAGGTCTACAGTTTATAGGTCTGTAATAAGTAGGCAATACTATTTGTTGTGCACACATTTGTTCTTGGCGCCACCTTCTGTTGAAGTGACGCCACGCCCCTGCTTATTGCTGCTGTCTTTCAACCACATACCTGATCTTAAAGTAGTAGGTAGGAAAGATCTAACGCAAAAGGGTAGTGAGACGAAGATGATCGACGAAAAGGGGTAATGAGATGAAGATGTAAGAGGGGGCGCTCGTGACTTAGGTTAATGTGTTCGCCTCTCATTCAATATGTCCCGGGTTCGAATCCGGATACCATTTTCTTCTCTAAAATTTCCCCCTTTCACATCCTTTCCTGCTCTCTAACAATGTTCTGTCGTCTGGTTTTGTCTCCACTTTCTGTCCCTACGCCTCACCTCCTTTGTCCCCTCCTCTGGGCGCCTGGCTCTTTCTTCTTCTTCTTCTTCTTCTTCCTCGTTCTCGACTGGCTTTTTCTGCACCCTTTCTACTGCTATTCCCTGGCTCATTCTTACTGCAGTCTTTCAGCCACACCCCTGATCTTATGGTAGGTTAGAGTAAAAGCCTACTCGGACAAGGGTGAAAAGTCTCAGAGGTCCCGTGTGCATGTTGTGCACGTTAAAGATCCCTTGGTTGTCCGAAGATGAAGAATGAAAACGGGTAGTGAAACGAAGATGTAGAATGAAACCTGGTAGTGAAACGAACATGTGGGACAAAAACAGGTACATTTTAGTAGTAGTTGAAGGAAACGAAGATGTGGAAGGAAAATGGCTGCTCTGCTCAAGCCTCCTGGTGTGAGGTAGGTCCTGTGCTGCGGCGTCGTTTGACTGCGTGGACGAAACACAACGAGTTGTGAAACGAAGATGTGGGACGAAAACGGGTATTGAAACGAATATTATAAAGGACGAAAACAGATAGTGAAACCAAATTGAGGAACGAAGACGGGTAGTGAAACGAAGACGTAGGACGAAAACGGGTAGTGGAACAAAAATGTGGGACGAAAACGGGTGCTCTGCTCAA